CATCCACCTATCTAATTAGCTCAGGTACCCCCGTCTAGTTCTCTACCAATGATTTTTCCCACATCAACTCCAAAAGTTCACCTAAGAAATAAAAACCATCTTGTCCCTTCCCCAACCAGAATAACTCCAGCTCCTAAGAATTGTATCACAAGCAAGCTAGACTAATATTGGGATCTGGAACATCAAACACACTATGTCCTGAACTGATTAATACTCTATGTCCTAAGACTGGATGGCAAAGGTAAACATTTAACCAAATACCTGAGAAACAATAGACGCTGATTCCCTCATCAACTTAATTTCTGATTTTGACTTGACCCACCGTAATTCATCGGTGTAATTTGTAAGATCTTTTACTTTATTATTGAGTGATGCCCTACGGAAGGCATCCAAGTTCTTATAAGATGATGCTGTCTTCACATTGTGATACACCCCTTTTGATCGCTCAATCAGTTCAGGAAGGATCTGCATTTTAGTAGCAATAGCATTAATGTGGTCAGGTGGAGAATTCAGTAAAATCTACACCAACAAAGTATTATCACTATTCACTAGCAGGAAGTAACAACTAGTGATTGAAAGTGATGCAGTAGACAATGCTGGAAGAAAATCTGAGTGCTGACCTTCTGCATCTGACTAAGTGGAAATGCTTTATCTGCTTTAAAGAAATCCACAGCAGCCTCAACTCCAGCAGTTTGACCTTGCCAAACTACATCCTAGCTCAATAATACATTAATAAGAATTGTGTGGCTTACATAAAAAAGCTATCAAAATAAGGGCTCATTACCTCCTTATTTGTATCTGGCATGAACATGCACAACCCTGTTTCTTCACTCAAAACTGCTACACCACCGGGTTGCGTACAACCTGTAATATACAGGTAATCACCATTCTGTCTGAATGGATATGGCACTACATCAGTCATCATCTGCTGATCAGCGGAAGCAATAATGGCCAAGCTCTTCTCTGGTAGCACCTCCAAAAGCTTTTTTCTTCTAGAGATGTACTCCTCGTTTGTGATGCCTGGTGTGATCTCTCCATCAGCTAATAACTGGCTCATATAGTAGCAATATTTAAGAAAGCACATACAACTAGTTGGTTTAACAAAATAACAAAAACAATAATAAGAGCAGAATTTAACTAGATTTGCAGAGACTGTCTTTTAGTGGATGAGAAGTTAACATATCAGCATATTCGGCCTAACAGCACCCAATGTGGACCAGATTATAGCTCTAGTAACTTAAAAGCCGTACTATTAATTAGTTTATTTGATAAATAAAGTACTTTGTGTCGACTCAGATCATAAACCTATATAAGATTATAAGCAATGATAATCTTCTACCCCAACTTCAACTTCTCTGTATGAAAGGATTTTGGCACTCATGGCTAACTTAAGGTTGAAAATGAACCAGGTGCCAGGCCTTAGATATACTAATAGATACTAGTACATTAAAAGAGGAACAGAAGGTGACACAATCTCATTTAGAATGGCATAAAAAAGTCATTCCTTTTTGGGCTTCCTTTTTAGATGCATGTATTTTTTTGGTGGTCCTGCACTCCTGCTGCATCTCTCACAGAAAAACTCAAATTTTCATAATAAGATGAGAAAGTATACATGCAAACTGAATTGCATTCCTTGTAAAATGGTACTGAAATCGGTACAAGCCAACATAGGGCAGCATTGGAAAACAGGTGACTTAAAACATACTTTAAGAACTAGCAAGTAGCAACTAGTTAAGTCTCCAAAAACACAATGCGACTAGCAGTGGCGGAGCTTCTCACAGGCCAATAAGGGCCATGACCACCCATGAACTTGTGTAAACTCCATTAGTTGCAGCCATTTTGGCTTGATAAAAACTAAAGATTAGCCTTGTTCTTTAATGATTGCCCCCTGCTGGATTTAGGTCCAAGCTCCGCCACTGGCGACTAGTATCAGTGTCTAAACACTAAATACCCAATATGCAAAGCCAGGGTCAACATGCCTGCAAAATCTGGTACCAGCAGCAAGTAAGAAATGAGATTGTCAATACCTCAGGATGAGACTGGGGTGTTGGCTGGCCAACATCGACTATGCCACCAGTTGTGTATGCAGCTCGCTGAACCAAACCATGGGAAGCAGATAGAAATCGAGATGCCACCTGGGTGCAATCCAAAAAGAAAGATGAATCACTATCATGGTGCTAAACAATACAGAGACATTTGTTTTTCATCAATGCCATCTAACTGCAGGTGAAGTTCACATTTCACAACAATTTAGGAGGAAAAAGAAAAAGGATAATGTGTAGATCAGCCTGTGAAGAATTTGCCACTTCTCTCATCAGGAAAGGACACTTCTATCTAACAATAAGCTCGGGCACTTAGGCCCTGTTTGATTGGGCCGTGGCTTGTAGCACTGTAGCAGTAATCTAGTTGGCAATCAGGAAATATAAGTGTGGCTGTCAAAGAAGACAAGATAAACCTTGCCTTTTATAAGGGAGGCAGGAGATATGCAATCCACACAATTTCAGCCCATGCTAACCAAAAGCATCATCTAAATCAAAACTTGACAAAGCTTTACTGGCACAAACACTGAAACACATAGGAAATTTCCCTCAACAACCAATCTAATTATCCCACTGAAGCCAAATCATCCCAAACTATCTTGCCTACTGGCTATACTATATGTGGCCTCCATTTCTGGCATCACCAAGATTTCTACTAGGCATAAAAAAAGACTTAGACAGGGGGAGAGATGCCCTGATTTTGCCCCTAACAGGATGGTTAGCAAAACTGCAGTAAAATTCCTTCCTCCAAGATGGTTCCTTCGAGCTACTCACTCCCTATTTGATCCCCCAGAATATCTGAGTTTCTGTTCTTTGGACCCCCAACAAGCTCAACACATCCTAAGAATTAGAGCTTCATGAGAGCCATCATAAGCAAGGAGCATAACCTTATTGTCTTGGTTGGAACCTCGAGAATATAAGTCATGTACGGAGTACCTCATCACCTATAGATATTGTCATCTCCAGCACATCATCTCCCTGTTGTTCTTGTAGTAGCCCAATTGGTGCCATGCAAGCTGCAGCTGTGTGCTAATAACTCTTCCAACACTTTACTTTCTGATAATCAGACCCTTGATGTGTGTGCCATCAACCACTTGGTTTGAGTTAGACTCCGAGTTCCAGGGGCAGTGATAAGTCAACGAAATGGGCAATCAACTCGGAAGCCGACTTTGCCTTATCATCATCCAAGTACTCTTTCCCAAGGCTAGCTGTTGCAACAAGCCATCTTTCCCCAAGGCTAGTTGTTGCAACTGTTAGTCACCGTGCGATAGCGGAGAGGTAGACAAGGTGTACCGTTGCCGGATGATGTTAGTCACCATGCGATAGCGGAGAGGAAGACAACCTCGACAGCATGCACGGTCATGTCAGACGGCATCTTTTCGTCCCACACAACCTCACTAGGCATTTCATCAAACACCTCTTGTGCAGCACTCTCCGATGCAGCAGAGGAGGACCTGGAGACTATCTGCTTAGCCTGTGTTATTGCACCATCCTTAAGAGGCTGAGAGGCATTTCATCAAACATCTCAGCTAGACAATCCACGCCAAATTCCAAGAGAGAGTGACACTGCTGAGCTGAGTGAGAGTGAACATATTGTCATTAGCTGGCTGAGGATGTAGCTTGCTCCCCTCACCGCTACCGTACTCACCAAACCCTGCTACTAGCTGAAACAGACTGGCTGAGTCAAGGCCATACCACATCCTTGCAAAGCATGTCATCAGACACATCTAGTGCAGCAACTCTCGATGCAACCGCAGCCCGGAACGTGATCTGCTCAGCAGGTGTTGCTGCGTCATCCCATAGAGGCATTTGCTCGAACAACTAGTGGCCATCCTCCTCAAACACCACCGTTGTCAATTGCCACGGAAACTACTTGCTCACGCCATACCTGGGCGGCCACAGCCTACGGCATGGTAGTCCACTGATTACCCGATGTGCTAGAGTACTAGACACTGAACACCCTGTCAAGTCGACGGAATAGTGCGAGCAACTGAGCAAGGCACCTAAATCCTGAAATCGAAGAAAAGCCATCGATTCTACCGCCGCCTGCGCCGCCGAGAACTCCGAGTCTACCGCCACCTGCGCCCCCGGAGTACCAACTCGGCCGCCGCACACATGCACGCCGCCACCCAAGGCGAGCAGCCAGGCCACAGAATCCCACCCTCCCCTCCTCCCAGAAAATGAAAAAAAACAGAAAAATGAAAGAACGAGAAGGGAGGAAGGGCGAAGAAGCGATGGGAGTGGGGAGCATCAACCATCTGCTTACCTCGGTTGCTCGCAGCAGCCGCGCCGCCATGGCCATCGGCAACAGCCTCGCTAAAACCTTTGCTCGAGTTCGCTTCGTCTCTCTTCGTGCCCCTCCCCCTGCGTTCCCTCTCTCTCGTCTCAAGTTCAAGTTCACTTCGCCTTCTCTCTCTAGTTGTCACCAATCTTAAAGCACATCTATTCAGGGCTAAGGCCAACCTCAGTGGATTTCGTGTCCAATTTCCAAAACTCTTTATATTGGAAATGTTATAGGTTTCATCCCATGAAACTTTCATCCTCTCTCTTTATGTATAATATGCCAGGTCTTGAGACTTGGGAAGACGGAGAATTTTCAGAATTCAAAGATCAATTGCAGTTGATCTGAATTTGAAGAAAGTGGTATTGACAAGTATTTGATCAAAGAATCACAAATTGGAACAAAAAAAAAAAGGGGGTGGGTGGCCTGGGCGGTTCGTCGACTCACTAGTTTCGAAATTAAAATTTCTATACCAAATACCAAAATATATTACTTCAAAACATTCTGATGCCGTGGCACCAGTAATCTCAAAGAGTCAGTGTGAGATGAGAATCCCAATTTGTTTAGATCAATCAGATGCAAAACACTAATCACCGGCAACACACGGTCAATGCCATTCAGAACCCAACTTGTGTACACCAACTTACAACAGCAACAGAATAGAATCATTTGAAAACATTTCATAGGAAACTGGAAAGAAAATCCTTTATCCGATCGATGTAGGGCGACCGGGTGGGGATTATGTGGCCCATATCATGCTCAACAACGGAGCAGCAATCCTGGTCGAACAAACCAGCAAGTTCAGCGCTCGCCCTGTTTGCTATCTGCTTATCATGACCATCCCCATTGCCGAAACAATGGAGCGAGGGGAGCTTGATTGGTTCGTTGCCGAAATCGCCCACAGGTGCTGGGTATCCGGAGCAGAACATCCCAAACCTGAACTTTGGAGAGCCACAAATCTTCTGCTGCTGCCTGCAGAATAAGGCAGCCATGGCAGCACCCTGAGAGAAGCCCAGGATTCCATCGAAGCTCCCCATGTGAGAGATTGCATTTTCAAGGTACGTGTATGATTCCTCAAAGCCTTCGGTTTGTTGCTGGTACTGAAGAGGGTCAAACGGCACATCTGCAGCCCTCCAGTCTTGCTCAGGGTTACAGTGGGAGTTTGGAGCAATGAGCCATGCAATTTCCGTTTTGGTGTCACAGACAGAGGTGAAGGTTTGTCTGAGCAGTGGCCCTGGATTGGTTGATATACAAACGAAAGCTCATGAGGTGCGTCTACAAAGACAAGCTCAGCGATGTGCTTCAGCTTCTTGGCAAGTGCTGACGTTCTTCCCTTAAAACTGGATGCGTTCTGGCGGAAACCATGCAAGCAGAGGATCCTCAATCTTTTCAGCTGCTCATTACCTGTGCAATATTTCATTTACTTAGAGCAAGGTCAACCCTAAAAAATACAAGTAAATATAGCTAAGTTAGAGAACTGAATGCTTAATAGTTCAGACTGAATGCATTAGGAATATCAGAATAAACAGATTATCCTGATTCAGTGGACCAAAAATGCAAATGACTCAAACCACATGTAGTTAAGCTACTATTACTCGAGAATTGGTGAGCATTTCTAATGAATTTTTAATATATTTTTTCAAGCCCAGCGCCCCAGCCCATGCATTTATTCTGTACTTCTGTAGCATAAGATCCATGCGCATATTTGAGTAAGAACATAAATCGGAGGTCAGAGAAGCCTTGAAAAGGATGAAAGGGGGCAAAGCGATGGGCCCTGATGGTATCCCAATCAAGGTGTGGAGATGTCTCGGGGATATAGCTATAGTATGGCTAACCAAGATGTTCAACAATATCTTTCGATCGAACAAGATACCTGAGGAGTGGAGAAGAAGCATATTGGTACCAATCTACAAGAACAAGGGAGATATCTAAAGCTGTACTAATTATCGGGGAATTAAGTTGATGAGCCACACTATGAAGTTATGTGAGAGAGTCATCGAGCAGCGCCTGCGAGGAACAACGCAGATATCAACGAACTAATTTGGTTTCATGCCCGGAAGGTCAACCACAGAAGCAATCTTCTTAATAAGATAGGTTATGGAGCGGTTTAAAGAGTAGAAGAAGGACCTCTACTTGGTTTTCATTGACTTGAAGAAGGCTTATGACAAGATACCAAGAAATATTATGTGGTGATGTTTGGACAAACATAAAGTCCCATTAAAATACGTGACTCTCATCAAGGACATGTACAACAATGTTATGACTAGTGTTCGAACAAACGATGGTAACACAGATTACTTCCCGATTAAAATTGGACTTCATCAAGGGTCAGCCTTAAGCCCGTATCTCTTTGCCTTGGTAATGGATGAGGTTACTAGGAACATACAAGAGGATATCCCTTGGTTTATGTTGTTCGCTGATGATATAGTGCTAGTGGACGAAAGCCAGACGGGAGTAAATAGGAAACTAGAGTTATAGCGGCAGACCATTGAGTCTAAATGTTTTAGATTGAGCAGAACTAAAACCGAATACATGAGATGCGACTTTGGCGAAGTTGTACAGGAGGAGGGAGATGTGAGTTTGGAAGGTTAAGTAGTGTCGGTGTTTTCGGACCACCGACAAATAAATTTGTATTTGCGCGTCTGGCTCGGATGGTGTGCTCGGAGGACACAAGAGTTTATACTGGTTCGGGCGGAACGTCCCTACGTCCAGTTTGCTGCTGCTCGTGTTACCGGCACTTGGTTTGCAGTAGGGGTTACAAACAGGCGAGAGCGGGAAAGGATCCTAAGTCTCCAGGGAAAGGAATGAATGGGTGCTAAGAGCTCGATCGCTGCTCAGCCGTGTGCTCGTGTCGTGCTCCTGTGTTTTTATCTCGTGGTTCGATCTTGTGCCGATCTGGATCCCCTCCCCCCTTCATGGGGCGCCCTGCTTTCCCTTTTATAGGCCTAAGGAAAGCGTGGGTTACAGCGGAGGAAAAGGAGAAGAACGAGAGAGAGGAAAGCTTTCAGGATCGCCGGGTCCTTCTCCTTCATGTGGGTCCCGCCGATCTCAGATATCAACGAGGGGCGGCTCCACGTCATGCCCCGTCAATCACTTTGGCGCCATGCTTGGCGTCATCTGCCGATTATGGCGTTCTATCCCGTCCCGGCGGACGTCGTGGTGAACTGACGCGCCTATCCACGTTTGTACCAGGGTTAGGCAGAATAACACCGGTACGCCCGACGCTATTCTTGATGTGAATCCTCAGGTATGGCCCGTCATGGCCTCAGGTTATATCGAGTCGTGCCCGTCTCTTCCCTGGTCTCAGAGTTTTAAACCAGGCCCATACGTCTGGACCTGGAGTGGTTGGCGGCAATATGGGTCCCCGTCGGGCGAGACGGAGGCGCGACCCTTGGGGTCGAAGCGAGACGGAGCCCGCGACCCTTGGGGGGTGGACGAGACGGAGTACGCACCCAACGGTCGGGCGAGACGAAGCCCGCGGCCTTGGGCGAGACCCCCGCGGCCTCAGGGTTGGGCGAGACGGAAACTGCATCCTCGGGGTCGGGCGAGACGGAGCCCGCGACCTTTGGGGGTCGGACGAGACAGAGCACGCACCCAAGGGTCGGGCGAGACAGAGCCCGCGGTCTCGAGCGAGATCCCCATGACCTCGAGGTCGAGGCGAGACAGGCTGCGTCCTTGGGGTGGCGAGAGCGAGAGCCCGCACTCCAAGGGGGTCAGGCGAGACATGTTAATATCGTCTTGAGTGCGTCCGGGAGTCCGCATGGGCGCTAACTCACTTGCTTTGGGTATCCCTAATATCGATAGCCGACAGTAGCCCCCGACCTGCGGAGGAGTAGAATACTCCTTCGGAGGCTTTTCCGAACGGGAGGACTCTGAGGGTCTTGGCCTTCTTTTGTCGCCCACGACGTGTCCTGGGGACGGCAGTTCCCTTTCATCGTGATCGGACCCGTCGGGGGTATAGCCGTGAGATTTAGTGGGTCGAAAAGGTCTTTTTCGATTCCGGCCCTACGGGGTCAATGGATTCTGCGACCACGCATTCGGTCTCCTTGCGAGTCCAACTTTCCTCGAGCCCCTGCCCGTAGCAGGGGTTTGGTCGAGGGTAGGCTCGTCTTTGTGATCGTCTTCCCTTAAGCGTTTTTTCCGATAAAAACGGAGGGGCTGGGCCGTGCCATGATTTTCCTCTATGGAGGAATCATGGTGCTCGTGAGGTGGCTGATAATGAGCTAGTCCGAGTGGGCCCCCACATCTGCTCGTGGGGGTCCGTCTTGGGTCAGCTGGTGTCCGACTCCAGATTCTCAACGGTCAATCCATATAGTTCTCGGGTCCGTTCGACCGGTCCCGAGGGCTCTCTGCCTTTCTTCGAGGAAAAACCATGGATCGTATCCAGAGTGGGCCGAGATGCCCGCGGCGCTCGTGCGCCCGGGTACTGGCCGCTAGCGGGCCCATCCCTTTCCACCCCACTCTAAAGGTGCCCGGAGCGGTTGTCGAACCCGTCGGTGGGCCAACCTTCGAACTGCTGGGCCTAGGCGGGTCGTAGGAGCATTTTCAGCTCCGTATCCCTCTTACCTGTTACGGGTCGTGGCCCGTTTGGGGAGGCCAAACATCCGGCGCGTTTTCCGAGGGGACGGCCATAGGTTGCATACGCACGCCCCGCAACGAGACGTGGTGACAGGTCGTGGTAGGCGCGGAGATCTAGGCGGGCGGTTGGTTTTCCCGCACCCGTCGCCCCTATAAAACCAAAGGGTTAGCCCTCCGTGTTTCATACGCACGCCTGCATCCTTACCGCCGCAGCCACACCGCCGCCGCCAACGATTAGGTTTCCTGCCTCCACATCTCCGCCGCCATTGAGCTCGCATCCATCCGCCCTCACCTCTAATGGATCCATGGTGCCGTTCCGACATCACCTTCCAGCGCATGGAGGGCCCTCATCCGTCGCGGCCTTCTCCGCGCGCGGACCTCGGCCGAGGAGTGGTTGCTGCCCGACAACAAGGATTCGCCGTCGCCGCCCAACGGCTACGTGGTGTCGTTCACCCACTTCCACGAGTGTGGGCTCGCGACCCCCGCCCACAAATTCCTCCGGGGGCTGCTGCACTTCTACAAGATTGAGCTGCAGCATCTCAATCCCAACGGGATCCAGCACATGGCGGCGTTCGTCACGCTGTGCGAAGGATTCCTGGGGATCAGCCCCCACTTCGACTTGTGGAGGTATTTCTTCGCCGTCAACCTCCAGAAGAAGAGGGAGAAGGGCGGCAGGCAAGAGCTGCACATGCCGATGGGGTGCGCCGGCATCCAACTTCGGAACAATCGGGTCGGCGAGTACCCGTCCATGCGGCTTTTGACGTCAACAAGGGGTGGCAATCGCAGTGGTTCTACCTCAAGAATGACGCTGCCACCCCTCTGCCGGAGTTCACCGGGCGCTTGATCGAAGAGGCCCCGGAGCAGTGGAGGAAGTGGGGCGTCCCGGAGGACAAGAAGAAGATCCGAGACCACATCACCGCCATCCGCATCCTGAAGAAGAACGGCCTGAAAGGGTCGGGCGTCATCGGGGCTTACCACGCAAGGAGGGTGGCACCGTTGATGACGCGCGCGCTCTCGCTATACGCGATGGCGCCTGAGGCGTCGTTCGACGGAACGGCGATCGCCGAGGGAACGCTCCACAACTCCGAGATCGCGCAACGCATCAAGGAGGCGATGGAGCCTTTGCGGGACGACGCGGGTGCCGCCCCCGACTTCGTCTACCCGGTGTCGGGGCATCCTCCCATGCGGCCGGAGCCAGGGTGGATCAAGTGGCGACAAGCTTCTGGCATTCTCTGTGACAAGAGGGTACCACAAAAGCTAAAAGGCAAGTTCTATAGAACGGCGATTAGATCGGCTATATTATATGGAGCAGAATGTTGGCCTACAAAGATTCGACATATCCAACAACTGAGTGTTGCAGAAATACGTATGTTGCGATGGATTTGCGGTCACACAAGAATGGACCGAGTTCGGAACGATGATATATGTGATCGCCGAAAGGTAGCACCAATTGAAGAAAAGCTTATCAAACATCGGTCGAGGTGGTTTGGCCATATCCAAAAGAGACCTCCAGAGGCACTAGTGCATTGTGGAGTCCTAAGCCAAGCTAATAATATGAGGAGGGGTAGAGGAAGACCGAAATTGACATGGGGGGAGGCAATAAAAAGATATTTGAAAGCTTGGGATATACCTAGAGATCTATGTTTGAATATGAGTACTTGGAAAGCAGCTATTGAAGTGCCTGAACCGTGACTTGGGGCTCTTGGTGGGTTTCAACTCTAGCTTACCCCAACTTGTTTGGGACTGAAAGGCTATGTTGTTGTTGTTGTTGTATTCAGAGAGTGCAATGGAAAACTGATACAGACCTTACCATCACTCCAGGGAACTTTGTTAGCCACATTGTGATTGCTTATGGATGGCTTTTCAAAGCTTTCAAATAGTCCTATCTGTATTTTGCAGTCTTGTCTTGTTGATATTTGGCAGGGTTCTTTTCCATTTTTTTGACATAACTCGCATGCATATTCCTTGGTGGAATCCTGGAGATTAAAAAACAAGTTTAACTTTTTTAAGCAATTATACAAATTAGCGTAAAATCAATATGACAATCAACAAAACTTTCTGAAAAGTACACTAAAAAAACATTGCTTTTGACTCAACCTGACATGTATTGCACACTAGGACCAACATTCTACAATGGCTGCACCGACAGCGCGATGAATAGTCATCAAAAGAAGAACCGCATATCAAACACGCTCCAAGTATGTTTTCTTTAAGGCTTCCCACTGAGATTCTATGAAATGACATTGTGACAAATTAGTGGGAAGAAAAACAAATGAAACACTGAAAAGGAAGAGTTTGAGATTTGCAGGCTGTATTATTATGTACTCCAACCTGTGGTCAAATACAAAATTCTTTCCTTCAAAATAGCCACCATCTGGAAATTGCTCCAGATACCGCTGAATGCCACCAAATAGCTAACATAAACATGATAATAAACAGTCATGACTCATGAACAATACAAATTACTCAAGCATGGCAAGTACTCAAGATTAAAGACAAACCAAACATAGTATTGCACATTACCTGAAAAACGTTCTCAAATCCTTCACCTTTTGAGCGAATATAAGCTGATGCCATCTCACAGAGTATACCTCCTGTGCAGTACCTGTAATAAATACCAAAACGTTAGTTAGGCCTCTTGCTTAGTGCTTGCAAAATACATTAGTCTAATTCAAAGTTATTCAAAGATCCAGCCTAACGTACATAAGAATAGATTTCCCACGCAGCTGCTCAGCATGCTCGTCTATCCAAGAAGGCAGGTCACTGTATTGCCTAATTTCCGGGTCTAAGGTCTTCGCATTTGGCACATTGAACTTGCCGATCCGAGTCTCATATACATTCCTTGCATCCAAGACAACCACTTCCTTCTTCTCCGCATATGCCACAGCATCCAAACTAGTCCCAGCTAAAAGCACAGAACAATTAAACCAGAAATTGGCAGCCCAAACAAACATGGACAAGCCTCAGTCCGAGAGTACACTCACCAACATTCTGGAGCACTGAATGGAACTCAGCCGCCGACAAGTGTCTCCCAGCACTCGAGATCTCTGGGGGTGCCGACGTGGGGTTGGAGCACAGGGTAACTAGCTCCTGCCAATGCAGCAACAATTCAAAACACAGTGATGGATGGAACTACCAGCTGGTCAAAGGTGAAATCATTCTGCTGGAAGCAGTGGCAAGAACCTTGACGACCCGAACGGAGAGCGAGGAGAAGCCGCACTCCCTGGCGACCCTCTCGTCGACAGGGTCGTCGCAGGACGCCAGCTTGAAATCCGTGCCCTCGAACAAGGCGTTGGAGCTCAACTCCGCGACGTGCTTCTCCAGCGCGGTCATCCGCCCTCCGAGCTAGCAACACCAAAATGCAGGGCCGGTGAGGTCGTGATGAGTTCATTTATGCAAAACTCGATATTCCCTGCCCCAAAGGCGCCGTCTACGATGCCAAGAAGATAGAGCAAGCGGGGGCATGTTCTCACCGTGGCGTTGACGCCGTCGGGGCCGACCCGGACGCGGCCGACGAGCGCGAGGCCGCTGCAGTGCGCCTCGTAGAACGCGGCGAGCTCGGCGGCGTCGGGCACCTCGGCGTACTTGTAGTAGAGAAGCACGCCGTAGCGATCTCCGCCTCCATTTCCTGTATGCTGCTCCTGCTGCCCCGTCGCGTCCATAGCCACAAAGGCAAAAACCCTAGCTGCGGCGACGGCGACGGCGACGGCGGCTGCGGCGGCGGAAGAACGACGAAACGAAGAAGATGGCGAGAAGAGGCGGACAAGTCGGGCCTTCTGCTAGTCATAAAACGCCATGGGCCGGCCCATCATGCATATGCGAAGGCCCAAACTTCATCTCATTTAGTTGAAGGCCCAAAACTTAGCTCGGCCCACCTAGCACCTTATCCTTCTCCTCGCCCGCATTCCATTTCGCTCCGCGTCCCCACACGGCCACACCGGAAAAACCCCGGCAAGAACCTCGCTCTCCGGCGTATCCAGCCGCGCACACCCATGGAGGCCACCGCGGTGCCGAGGGCTCTGTCCCTCCTCGGGCCATCGCTGCCGCCTCCTCGGATGCGTATGAACTTCCAACGCGTAGACGTTGGAGGAGGTGTGAGGCGGCGGGGGGCCGTGGCAGTCTGGGCGAAGAAGAAGAGGGGGAGGGGCGGGGACGGCGAGGCGCAGGAGCGGGTGGACACGCACAGCTTCGCGCCCAAGGCGGGCGAGTCTGCCGGGCTGTTCCCTGAGGCCGTCCTGCTTAGAAAGGTTCGGTCTTTTTTCTGTTCATTCATTCCCTGCTAGGCTGCCTCTAGATACTTCTATCTAGCGTTTAAGCCTGGGGGACGAGGAACTGGACATGGTTGCTTTCGTGTTTCTGCTTCTAGACTAGATTCCTCCCTGAATGCAATGGTTTTGGTAAATGACTTGGCAGCAGCCAATAATCTGTGTAAGTAGGCCTTAATGTTGCGAATGGTGGACATGTGATTTTTTTTAGGGATAATCTAGTGTTATATGTGTAAACCTCTGCAATGTTTTAGTTTTCTTGTACAGTAACCATTGCCAATCAATACAATCTTCTGTTCATGACAACAGAGCCATTTTCCTATTAGAAATGAAATTTATGAACGAACAGTTAGTAGTACTCCACTAGAGCAAATAGAAAATAAATGATGAAGTTTGCCCAAGGCATACGAAACATTATGGATTTGGTCATTTGCGGTAGAAACAGGAGATGCTCTTAAGTTTTGTATGGGGAAGATCGAAAGCTATTGCAATAGGCTAAACAACTACATGCTTTTCTTATTTCTGTTGTTTTGTAGAAAATGGTGAGAGAGGATGGTCAGGTGTCACCAGAATTTGCTGATGCAGACGAAGGTATGCTTTTCTGCTATAAAGTTTTTTTGGATATCCATTTTGGTACTGTAAAGACCCTTTTCATGGTTCATGTGAATATTTTATCATTCTAATCCTGTTCTTTTTTTTTTTGCAGAAAAGCTGTATGATTTTCTTAATATTCAGCTAGAAAGTGATTTAAATCTGAAAAGAAGTAAGAGCTCTTTCCTTTCCTCTTCCGTCCAGCTATTTTTCCTATTTCTTCATGCTGGCATTACTTGCTTTTCATTTGTGCTGGATTTCTGAGTTCAGCTTGAACTTTGTCCTTTCACAGTGCGGCACTATGAAGTAGTTTATCTAATTCATGAGGACCGTGTTGAAGAAGTTGAAAATGTTGTATCAAAAGTACAAGGTGTGTCTCTCAACACTCGTCACTCGGACATCACTTGTGTATTGGTGAAATTTCTGTAGCACACTGGAGTCCTTTCTCTCTCTAAACATACTAACTAAATGAGTTAATCTTAGTCGCCTAAAGCTAAAGGAAAACTAAGGTACTTATATGTCATGTTCTGCCTGTAGGTTTGGCACTCTTATAGGTCCGTTTCCTGCTACACTTGCTACTGTCTGTCCGATTTGCTTTTGCTGCCTTTGTGCTTTCCATCTCTATGTGCAATCTCTAGGGCAGGAAGGAAAATTTTGTTTCTCTATTCCTTGTTGTTTTGGTGTACATGTTTCTATTATATTTGCTTCAATCAGCCAATACCTGAGCCTATTTGTTTTTACATTTTATGGAATAGTCTAGCAGTTTATCAATATACTACTGAAGAGTTAACATACAACTATTCTCTTTGTTCTCTTGTAGATTTTGTCAGGGAGAAGAAAGGGAGGATATGGAGGCTTAACAATTGGGGGCTGCGCAGGCTTGCTTACAAAATAAAGAAAGCAACACATGCCAATTACATTTTAATGAACTTTGAGATAGAGTCAAGATACATCAATGACTTCAAGACCCTGCTAGACAAGGATGAAAGGATCATCAGACATCTCGTTATGAAACGGGATGAGGCAATTACTGAAGACTGCCCTCCCCCTCCAGAATTCCACACTCTCAAGTAGCTCAACAATATTTTGATGATGAATATGAAGATGAGGAGGAAGAGGAAGAGGATGGGGATGCTAGGAGTGAGCTAGAGTCTGCCAATTATGATGAGGATGATGTTGAAGCCGATGATGAGCCTGAAATTATTTATGTTGATGAAGCTGATCAGGATAATTACGAAGACACTAGAAGAAGAAACAGAAAACTAAAGGTGAAGAAGTATACATCAGAGAAGGTATTGAGGTAGCATTAGTGTTTTTCCAGTTAGTCTAAGTCTTTTTAGTTCTTATACAAAGGACCACCTGTGTCTGTATGATGAGGCAGTTTCACTTAGGTGCTTTTTCTGGTGCCAACGACCACTACCATGATAATGAGATGGGTATATGTGCTATGGCTGGTACAGCCCTTGTAAATGCCTTCTTTAGTGCACCTTTGTTTTTTTTGTCACTTTATTGCCAAGAAAACCAAAAGCTTAAATAAATACTATATTATTAGTTCGAAATACAGCCTTCTCTGATTGCAAATAAGGTATGAGTACTTATCGAGACCTCAAAAGATGCTTGCCTCAACCATTCAGTGGGAGTTGCGTGAATCTTTTAGCATTCCAAGGGGTAGCTAGTTGGGAAGCAACCCTTTGGTTTATGCTTTGAATTTGTGCATCTCTTAAGTATTTGGAGCATAGAAGCTCCTCCAATCTGTTGATCTGCAAGTTGCTGGAAGGCTTTGCTTTTTTGTTTATTTCTCTTTATTTTAGATGGCGCTAAATTCATGTGTGCTATAAACCTGCAGTTTTGTATTGGTTGGAGAGTCCATATTTCTTTTGTTCACAACTGAACATGCTAGATTCATTTTATTACACCAAATAAATCAGCACCTCCTCATCACTAGTTCACGGGTTTTTTACTTGTACCTGACTAATTTTTCAAGCCAGGGAGCAGGGGCTAACATTCGAACATCATTTACTGGAGGAACTTGTACTATTATGTATTAACAAAACATGATCACATTGCCGTCTTGATTCAGGTCATGTGATGACAAGTTAGGGATGCAAATGATGATTGTGAGGGGACCTTATGTAAACTTATTAATGATCAAATCTAAGGAATGTTCGACTGTTTTGTATTAATTGTCCCACAAGTTATAGATAGGTTGAGGTCTATCAAATGATCAACAACTAGCATTAAGTTTGGGAATCTTGCTCACTCCTCAGCTAACTTGTAGCACGTCACCTGCAAATCTTGAGATAATCATGCATCTGATCAGCTATTATTGAAGGAAACTCCTTGATTGATCAGCTTATTGTCAACATTTTGTTTCATAATCTTTCATATTATCACACCAATGAGCATTTATTTTGTCATCTCTGTTTTTTTAATATTACTTGTTTTACATCTAGCTGCTTTATATTTCTGCAACAACTTTTCTTAAAAAAAAGTAAGAATTATGGTCACCTCATTTTGTTCTGCCGTAACTTGCTTTTTATGTTGCATTTAGGACTGGTATCTCGGGTTTCAGATGCTATTGTGATCATGACTTGCATTAGGTGTGTTTAGCCAGGGACTTCTTGGATTTGCTCGGCTGTGCTCTTTGAAGCGCTGTGCAGCAACAGCAGCTGCAAAACACTGTAAAGTAAATAGTTATGGTACACAAATAGCCACAACAGCTGCAGTCACTGCTAGAGATCATCATAAATCATAAATCTGTTAGTAAATCTGCTTGAGATCATCATAAATCTGTTAGTAATTAGGGGAATCTTCTTGATTGATCTGCTTGTTGTCGCTGTAATCTACTTCATGTTGCTGTAAGGACCACCGGCTGTTCCGCGGTGAATAATTCACCGAGTAGTTTGTAAGTTTGTACCATGGTCCATTTTCATGACTGATCATGACTCATCAGCCTAAGGGTCTCTCAATCAGTGTACTGCTATAGATGGTACATGCTCCTGTGTGTTCAATCAAACAGTGTGCCTATGATCCTGTAGCATTTATCGCCGCCAACCATTGCTGGCGGTTAGCTCTATCACACTGCTGGTTTCAATAACGTTTAGTGGATGTGGATTGTGAGGACACAATGTGTGAAAACAAGAAAAGTACTTCCAAACTTCTGAAACTTTTCACTGCCTTTTCATCGAGAACTGGCTGCTTCTGAACCCATCGTACCTCCTCAACCATCCTAGTTTCAATTCGGACTTGGTACAGAGGATTCTTTGTCCTACGAATTAAAGCCGTTTCCCTCTATGTGATGTGCTTAGATTCTTGTATCCCCCCCCCCACCAATTTTCATTTCGAGAATTGATGGCCGCGTGATGAAACTTTCAATTTTGGTGATTCCTCGATTAGAGGCGTGGATGTTTCATCCCTCAACTAAAGTTCGTCCTTGGCTTATCATTCGAACTGACTCAAACCAACTATGCCATTGTTGCTTGCCATCGATGTGGCTTGGGGTTCTATTCCATATAAAGATACTTAATTAGTCAGTTATAATTTTAATAGAAACTGGTCCATAGCAGCGTTTGTAGTCCAACGGTTAGGATAATTGCCTTCCAAGCAATAGACCCGGGTTCGACTCCCGGCAAACGCATGTTTTTTTACCAAGAGGAAGTACTTTTTTTTTCTTTTATTGCTGTTTTTTCGTAAGAGACTTGATATGATATCGGATTTGACAGCATAGGATATGTTTTTTTTTGGTAGATAGATTCTGTTAATCTGTTTTTTCGACAGAGACTTGATATCGGAATTGACAGCATAGGGCTGACTAGTATCTGATATATGGGTACGTTCGCTTGAACGTATCAGCTAGAATCTATAGTATTTTTTTTCTTATAATAAAATAGCTTCAGCCGACTTTAATATCAGCCGAACAGGCCCTGTGTAAGTAAATGTAAAACGCACACCACATTTTGCCTTTTAGTTGATTGCTTGCAGTTCCAATGCAACCCCGTTTCCCCTTCTGTCACAGTCATTGTTTTCTTCAATAATTTTTTTTTATCAAATACGTATGGGCTCTGTACATCTTTGCACGTGCACAAAAAAGTTTTGCCCTGGCCGCGCAAGAACAAGAGAAAAGATCAACCTAAATTCTAGGTCTTTAGCATGGAACGCAATTACTCATGGACTAAGCAACAAGAATTTAGGATATTAATTACACCTCTATTTCGCCATTATGGTAGCATTCAATTTTCTCAATACGTGTCTTTCTATATGTGTGTCGATACGTTTTTTTTCAAGCCAATCTGAGGCTGGAGCCATTCGGTCTTATCATGTGTTCTACGTGTCATTATATTGTGGGCCCAACGTACACAACACTAGTTCCATCTTCCATCCAAGTTTCAGGTCTTTATCATTGTTCGGCAGAAAAAAAAAGGACTACAGGGATTTGAGAGACGAAAAAAAGCTATAGCTACAACAGCGGTGGGTTTTTTCAGCAGCCGAACAAGCTGGCCTGATGGACTTCAAAGGTCATCAGATAATTTCTTTGCATTTGGATATGCGAATTAGTTTGGATTCAAAACGTCATGTTCCTATGTGTTGGATATGTGAACTTCGGAAGCAGTAATAAAGTAACAACTGGTCTTGCTAAATAATTAATCCCCAGGCGTTTGTGGTGCTGATGTATATATGTGTGTCTTCTTTTATATGTTCGAAAAAAATAGCGAGCACGGTAAGTTGAAAGTGGTAATAATTGGTCCCTTTAGGAATACCCCTTTCACAGTTTCACACGCAAGCGTAGCACGATCAAATATCAATTGAAATTGTCCCCGAAGTTTTCCCTTTTCTTTTTTATTATGCGTGTCTCTAAAGTTTTCATGCCAAAGTTTAAAAGATCTCCGATGAAATGGTGAGGATAAATTTTTGAAATGCACTAGACAACGGAGGTATAGATTATATTAAAAAATAAAAAAAGAAACATAGTTTCTTTCTTACCCTTAGCTCTGTTTTTATGGACAAGCCTTCAGCAAAGGAGCTCGACAAAAAACAGAGTTAAAAGAAAGGGTTCTCCGATAAGGAAAGTTGACCCATACTCATAATCTACAGAGCGAGTTCAGGACCCACCTATAAAGAAGCAACTAAAATGTTGACCGATAAGGTCCGAGGCTATCTAACAGCAAAAAAAAAATCCTACTAACAACACATGATATTCACTACTGTAATGGCTTATTTGGTAGAGCTCCTCTTGCTCCAGATTCTTTGTGCAAGCTGATTCTCTTTGAGAGAAGTGATTCTCTTTTTTTTTGCGAAAGTGAGAGAAGTATTCTCTAACTAAAATATTTCTCTAGGATGCATACAATGACTCTAGAATAAATTAGAAGAAGTTACTTTTTTCAACTCCTAGCTCCTAATTCATTTTAGATGATCAATTCACAAAATCAATGTAGAATCACTTTTTAGTAAAAAAAACTATTTGACAGAGCTCCTTCTGATTTTAGCCACAAGCTTTGCCAAACAGGCCCTAAGGCACCGAGGTTTTAAACAGATCAACAACAACCAAGGGGTTGAGCAACTATGAAAACAGCTAGATAAAACAGGGAGGATAACAACCCAAAAGCTAAAACCTACCATTGTCCTATGGTTTTCATTCACTTTTCACTACCCTCTGCCTGCTGATCTTTGCTTGATTGGTGACATAATCATCTTATTGCACCATACATTACACATGGATGCAAATTAAAAGCCACATTGATATGCCTGGTCTTTTGATCAGACATTGTTTAGAGTCACACAAAACAAGGAAAATGCAACTTATGACTAAGAGAAAGATAAGTCATCATCTTACAGATACACATATGGGCTTTGACGTGGTACTCCAAATAACTATTAACTGTTTATTTAATTAGATCAGATGATTATGATCAACTATTACTTTCTCATAGGAAATAGGTGGAATATATATTTATTTAATTTTCTATTTTGTAAATAGAAAGTTTTATATACTAATAAAATCTTTTTTCTATAGAAACTAATTGATTCATGCGCGATCTATGTGGCAAATCATTTTAACTTTGGACATGGCATAATTTGATTAGCATAAATATAACATGGCAACTAATATAATGTAACATGTTCTAATATACGTTGTAACACCTTAAAAATTTCATGATTTTGAAATAGGAGAATTTGATTTAATTATACATTTTGTGAGCATTTAAACTTAGAAAAATAATAACTTTTGTTAAAATAAAAATCAACTATAAGGTCTAGCTACATGTTTGTGCATTCATACTGATGCATACTTATTTTTGTGATGTTTGGGTTTGATCAAAATTGCAAAAGAATTTAAAGTTGAATTGAATTTAGTGTTGAAAATGTGTTTAAGAAAAAGAAAAGGAATTTTTTTCTCCTCTCTCCCTCTCCTGGAATTCTGGCCCGCTGGCCAATCTCCCGCATGCCCTGTTTTCTCCGTGGCCCAGCAAGCAGGCCGGCCCAGCAAGTGGTGTGGGCGCTGCTTCTCCCTCCCTTGCTCTGTCTCTCTGTCAGCCCGGCCCCACGCCTTGAGCCGCTGACGTCCTAGGCCCACGTGTCAGCGCCTTCCCTCACCTCTAGCTCGTGGCCGAGTTGGGTACTACCGCAAGGACTTCGTCTCCGCCTCCGCTATGTCGCACCTGGCGTGACCTGCAAGCCAGCCCCGCTCATAAATAGTGCCCCTGCGTTGCGTCGCCCTCACCTAACCCTAAAGCGCCAGCCGCCGCCCTCGCATTGCTCCAGCCGCCACAAACCCTAAGAGCGTCACCATCGCCGTCCACCCCGTGGAGCCGCACGCCGCCGTAGACCCGCCCTCGTCCACGTAAAGCTCCTAGGTGAGTTCGCTGTCATCCCCTCTCTCTCTCCTCGTGGTCT